ACACATTTTTAACTATTGACTAATGCATGACAATTCATAAATAGCATTCAATACATCTTTAAGGCTACATAAAATGCAGACTTAATAGAATGGATAATATTTTAAATTGTTGTATAATATAGTACTTAGAAGCTAAAGAGTTTTACAGGTAATCTAATCCAAGCCTTTATTTTATACACTAAATAATTTATAGAGAAACTATAACTAGGTCTTAAACCCAGTTCTTGACTTCAAATTTTGCATGCTTTCTAATCTTCCCTGATATCTTTTGTTTACCTTATAGTGTGAATGAAGGCACCGAAAGCCAGTTTTGCTTTTGAGGGAGAGGGTGATAAATCATAAGAAATAAGCTAATAGAACACTGAACACGCTAAAAAATAATAAAATCACATAGAAAATATTGAATCTCTAATCCAAAGACAAATGTGGTCTTTTTTAAAAGGATTTTGACAATTACATACTTTTATTTGGTTTCTTTTTACCTAAGCAGGAGTTTGTTCCATGTTGGCATGGCCCTAATGTAGATAAATATAGCTTTAAAATTACTCAGTTGAAATAATCTCTTCTTCAAAAGATATTATAGAGAGAAGGCAGGGATTTCATCCCTGAAGTGATTTTGGACCTCTGACACATTGTAGCTCAAAATATAAGTTTTTATTGATTCATATTTTGTGGACCAAAAATGGAAATAAATAGTGTGACATCTACTACATCCCCCCTTCACACACACACACACACACATACACACGCACACAGTTTCTTAGAGTGGCTTTACATCTTTGTCTTAATAGTATTACATTAGGAGATAATTAACTTTGATAAAATGAATTGAATTTCTTTTCTTAATGATGAAGAAATCATAAACTAAATATGTGACCACCTCAATCTATCCTGTGTTAACTATATTTTCTTAAAGTGTATTTCTAACTATACAAATTTTGTTATGAAGAAGATAACATTTCCAAGGCTTAAATGCTTAAAATCCTCTTTCATCAGTTTTTCTCTCTCCTTGATTTAAAAAAAAAAAAACACGTAAATGTCTCCAGTGACTTACATCTTCAATTTACTGAGGCTGAGGTTCTGACATATACCTTATAGCCCACAGCTGTAAAGGATTCCTTGTTTAAAGTAGTAATTTTGTTACAATTGAGCTGCCAATTTTTCTATAAGATTTAAGTGTTTCACGCATTTGACTAATATATCTCTACATAAAGAATGCCTCCGGCCTCAAAACGTTGGCAATGTATATGGAGAGCTTATTAGGGAAGAAACCATCTGTCTGGAAAAAGCAGTCAAAATGTGTCTTCTACTTTGTGCAACATCTGAGCAATGCCTGTGTTGTCAGGGTAACCCCAGGGTCTGCAGTCTCTTAAACAGGACTTATTTCATTAGTACTCTAGTTCATTGGCTTGTCTGTCTAATGAGCTAGCCAAAGGGGCAAATGGGAGTTTTATATATATTTTTAAAATTTTATGTGTCTGTCTTGTTTACAGCCCCTTTGGAGGTAAATAGCTGTATTTTTAGCTTTCCTATTTCTGTTTTCCCCCATCAGACTCCTTTCCACTCCCAGAATATGTTTGCTTTTCCTGTGTTTTCCACTTTTTGTATTTACCTGATTGATTTTGAACCACTTCATACATTGTTCACTCTATAAAGATTCAGCAGGCTCCTGGCTGGTGTGGCTCAGTGGAAGAGCATCAGCCCCTGAACCAAAGGGTTGTGGGTTCTATTCCTCGTCAAGGGTACGTACCTGGGTTGCAGGTCCTTTCCTTGGCCCCGGTCAGGACACATGTGCGAGGCAACCAGTTGATATCTCTCCCTCTCCCTTTCTATCCCCTCCCTTCCACTCTCTCTAAAAATCAATGAAAAAATATCCTCAGTGAGGATCAACAGAAATAAAGATTATTTAAAAAAAGATTTAGGAGGAATTTCTACCTTCTACTATCCAGTCTATAACAATATAAGTATCCCTTTTACATGACTTTTGCTGTTCACGATCCTGGTCTAACTGTGAGCAATAAAGGGGAGTTATTTCATTCTAATGGAACTCACTATAAGGGTGTTTTCTTAATTTGGCCACAGTGGGACCATCCTGCTATTGTCCTCATGTTGTTCTTTCTTCCCTTGTTCAATCCTGCTTTGTAGTCTTGAAGATCATTGAGCATTCCGTGTGTTTTGAGTCACTGAGGATGAACATCTGGTAACATCTTCACCCTGCTGCCTTTATTCTACAAAAATCATCTTGTCACTGATGATTCATGACTTTAGGTTGAATTTATTAGGTGTGACCATCCTTCACCCTGTATTCTAACTACTTTAGTTGATATTGGAATGACATTAGAAATTCCTTGACAAAGGATGCAGAAAATAAATGTGTAGACATACCAGTAAATGAGTCTGTTACTTAGTATCTCTTGTGCTTAGCAATGAAAAGTAACATTTTTTAAAAAATTTCTCTAAGCAGTATTCTTTTAAATTTATTAAATAATTTGATTTATTTTTGTAGAATTTATCATTAGTAGAATCTTCAACATACTGCTTACCTGGAAAAGTATCACTGAGTCAAACTTTGGAATGCTCTATTAACATTAGACTTGTGGGTTCTTAATTGTCAGCAGTTCAGATTTAGCAGTACAGATGGAAGGATAATCAGACTTTTTGAGCATGAATAAATAAAATGAAAATCCTAAATTAAAAAATAAAGTGAAACTTTGCATTATATATGTCCTATTTTAGTCAGGATATCATTATGATAAAATGTGTAGATTTACATTGATAAAGAGAAAATAGGTATTTTCTATCCCTATGCTAGAAAACAAATATATTTTTCTGAATACTAAAGGTTTGTTCTACTGAAGTTAGAAAATGATAAACGTGCTCCCAACAGACTCTAAACAGATTATGATGGCTATTTTTTGCATTGTTTCTTAAGCTTATGAACATTATGACTTACACTGACCTGCCCATGTCATTTGTTGATATAATTACCTTTACATGCCCCAAATCAGGGAAAAAAGCAAGGAAACAAACAGTTAATTTGAATGATACTGAAACACATGAAAATAATTTTGTAACTTGGCTGAGAGAAATCTTTATATTCTATTCATCTATGTAATTTTTACATCATTTCTAGAGTATGTCTGCAGTGCTTTTTGTTTAACTTCAGTTAGCTGTGATATATTGCTTGATAGATGGATAGTATTTTATTGTTAGAGTGCAGATATAAGGTAGGGTGAAATTTCATAATTTTAGTTTTTAAGTCACTAGGTGAAAAGACTGATAATAAAGGCATTAGAAATTGCTGGGGTTCTGTGTTTAGGTCAAGCCATATTTTTCTTCCTTGTGATCCCATTAATCACATAGCAGAGAGTGATCTGCAAATTCTGTTTCTTATTACCTCATGTGTTGTTGTTTTTTATTTTTTTGTGAAGCTCAGTTTCTTCTCTTTTAATCTGTCTACTTCTTAATAAAATGTGTTCACTAATAAACTGCTTGAGCAATTTTCATGTTTCAAAACCCCATATTTTCACTGGTTTCCAACTCCTAATGATGTTTTACACATTGCCTACATGCCTAGTTATAATCACCTTTAAATAATTGTTTCCATTCTTGATAGAATGCTCCTGTGAATCTTTTCTCACTTTTGGTTATGCACATTAAATATGACCATGTAAAATTAATTACTACACTACTTCCTGCTCAAAGTGATCAAGTTAATTGAAGGGCACAGAGCATTCATTATTTTCCTTGCTGTCTGCTCCCAATGACTTCTCCTACCTTTGTCTCACAATAATTCAGTAATATAATATTAAGCAGAAAATCTAAGGTAGCATATTTAATAGAAATGACAGAGATTGTAACTTTCCTCAAAAGATGTTTAAATGCAATATCTTTCTAAGTGTGCTTATCTATACTAATTTTTCCATTTTTAAATCAAATTATATATGGTGAGGATGCAGGGCAACTGGAACTTCTTGAAATTCCTGAAAATAGCATATTGGTGAAAAGTTTTTGAAAAAATTTCTAACAGTATCCATTCAACCTGAACATACTTATATCTTAGATTCAACATATCTATTTCTGGCTAGATACTCAATAGAAATGAGTGCTCGTGTCCACCAAAAGACATATACAATAATAGTATTCAGAACTTTAGTTATAATGCCCTAATACTGTAAATAAGTCAAATGGACGTCATTAGTAAAGTAGTAAACAAATTGTGCTATATTCATAAAAAATAAACTTAAAAAGTATTAATAACTGGCATGCAAAATCGTAAACAAATTGTGCTATATTCATAAAAAATAAAAAGTATTAATAACTGGCATGCAAAATAATATGGATGAATTTCACAGACATGATATTGAGTTAAAAAGTTATGAATAGTGGTGTATGATTCTATTTATGTGCATTTGCATAAGCTAATCTATTAGACCATATCAGAATATGGCCTAATACTGACTGGACCTTTATAATATAACTAGTAGCCCTGGACATGAATCCATGCAACAGTAGCTCTCTGCGGGGCCTGGCCACTCCACGCCCACTGCCTAGAAGCTCTCCGTGGCCCAGCGGCCCATCCGCAGCTGGGCATGGAATGCTTGCCTCATCGCTGGGGTGACAATGCAAGCATTCCCTGCCCCCTGACCCCAGCTGCTCTGTGCCCTCTGTCCAGAGGCCCTCCATGGCTGGGGTGGAATGCTTGCCTCATTGCCGAGGCAACAAAGCAAACATTCTGTCAGGCCGCTCACACTGCCCACTCTCAGCAGCAGCTGCCACCCCCCACCCCGCACCAGGACTGGGGGACTCCAACGGGGCTGAGAGGACTGGTTGCCACCATCTTGTGGCTATGGGTGCTGCCGTCTGTGTGATGGAATGATGGTTAATATGCATATTGCCCTTTTATTAGATAGGATTTTTACGCACCTATGTATAACAGAAAATTTACCAAGTTGTTTTTTGAATATACAACTTTTCTTTGTCATTTTGTCTTCTTGTAGTGTCCTGAATTTAAAAGGCCCAGAGACATTGCAGTTGACTGGGTAGCAGGAAATATTTATTGGACTGATCATTCTAGAATGCACTGGTTTAGTTACTACACCACCCACTGGACCAGTCTGAGGTATTCTATCAACGTGGGGCAGCTGAATGGCCCCAACTGCACCAGCTTT